CTCATCAATGTAATGTGGCTTCCCTCCGTCTGTTCTATATTTTCATAGTATCTGCTCTGACAACCTACATTCACTGGTGCCCCGACTTCATGAATTTAAGCATGCTTCTAGGTTGGCATCTCTATCCCAGCCTTTTATTGTCAAAACAGTTAAATTTAACTGCCTCTTCTACTCCAACAGCTTCTTATCTTGCACTTCCCAACAATGGAACTCCCTTCCTCTTACTTGCGTCCCTGATAATTATAATCTTCAAAAATTTAAATGTGATGTCAGTCGACATCTTCTGGTGCCTTAATCCCCATTCTTCTTTTTATTCTTGAATGAAAATATGCTGCCTAAATATACAATATATATATATATATGTATATATATATATATATACAAACACATGCACACATTCAATATCCCACACATGTGCACACACATACAGGCATATGCACACAAGCTAAAATCAACCTAACACAGAAATTATCATTTTTAACTAAATATAAAAGTAACAAAAATGCGAATATGAAAACACAATTGCTGATACCTCCTGATCAGTGTACACAAAGGTTCATCACTGAAACTATGGAGTAGAGGTGACATATATAACATCAATCAGCTAAGGGACATTTTGTATTAATCATATATATATATATATATATATATATATAGCATACAGTGAGCACTGGTGGTCTTAAAACAGTGGTCAATGTAAAAGAATAGCTAAAATTTATAACATTAATAAATATACATTTTGTTATATAGGAATAAAGTGCCACTGCCAACACTTGAGGTTGAACATCATCAGTGAGAAAACACAGGCAATCCCATTATTGAAATAACTAGACCACGTGACCATAGAGGAAATCCATAATTAGGAAATCGCATGAAGTCTAATTGATCACCATTTCTAGTCTATCCTCTATTAATATACAGACTGCTGTTCTGTACTCTATTTACTACATTATTTTTCTATATGGATTACTATTCAGATCACTATACAGCAAGTCCTATCAGTGTGAATGCTATCTGAAGGCATCTGACACCAGTATTTGTTGGCATTACAAAAATAGGAACGAGTGTTTATAGACATCACAAAACATTTACTCCTTATCATTTGCAGTTACATGAATGTGGCTATATATATTATTTATCATATGAAATTAAAATAAGAAGATGTTAAAAACTGCTTCACAAATTTCAGTTGTGCTTCCTCAGGTGATGGTAAATAACTGGTGAGTAAATAATTATTTTTAAATCTCAAAAGCAGAATACCCTCTGAATGAGATACCAACAAATCAAAATTAAATTAGGCTTGTGGGTTTGCTCAGACCTATGCTAAATTCAAAAATAACATAAAAAAAAAAATTGTTCTTATCCCATACCTGGAGATAGATAAGGGTTGAGAATTGTTGACGGATGTCTGTGGGGTCCATGGATGGGAATTTTTTTTTTCTTTTCCAGTTACTGATTGCCATTTATTTCTGCTTATTTGCAATTTTTACTTTCATATCCCTGCCTAATTGCCTACTTATGAATGTAATTTCAGAGGGCAAAATGTAAAGTAGTATTGTAGTAATCATAGTATTGAAAATGTCAATACTAGTATTAATAGGTTAGATTTGAGTAATATTTAACAGATAGCAATTATGTGTATAGGTTACTTAATTGTGTAGTTAGATTATTTTTTTAGGCTAATGAATTATTTTAGCTGATAAATCACAAAATGGAGAAGGAACTTCAAATAAATAGTATGAGTTAATTTTGCAATGGCTAGTTTTGTAAAAGTAAATTAATGGGGGTAGAATTTATGAATGTGTGCTCAGGTATGTATATGTGAGTACATTTCCTACATTTATATGTAGATGTGTGGACGTACTTACATGTATAAAATTTTTTGTGAAATTTTGTTTAAGAGTATAAGGTAAATGTAGACTTCAAGATTTATCTGATAGTAAGAATAGCAAATAATTACTTTTTTTTGTTTTCTTTTAAGAAATGCTGCTGCAAGTGGTAAGTTAGACTAATTTTGGGGGAAGCATAAGTGCTAGTATAGGATAGAATTGGGTTGTGTGCAGGCTTATTAAGGAGTTATTATTGTTATGGTATTAGTATTTTAAACATATAAAACATTTGGATTAAACTGGGCAAGAAAGAGACTACTTTACTAAACTAGGAATCCATGAGAAGCAGCTTGAATTCAAACCAGATGAAATAAAAAGACACCAGTATATAGGAGGGGAGCGTGAAAATCATTTTTTTATTGGTTGGCACTGACTGATGTATGTCAATAAGAACAGTTGAACTCCAAGCCATTTTGGAATATTTTTTTTGCAATGTCAAGGTGTGTAGCATGATGCTTTCAAGGAGATGACCTGACTCATCTGGAGCCAGGTTGAGGTTACTGTTTGAGCCAATATGATGCAAAACCCAAAATTGGCAATAAGGACAGTATATCACTGAAGACCACCCTTGATACATCTAAAATGTATTATGCAAGTATATATATATATATATATATATATAATTATATATATATACACGTTTCATTAAATAATATAGACAAGTGTTGTCTATTTATTTTATATAAATTTTGTTCGTAACATCTGATAAGTTTGATAACATTATCATTAAACGAAGAAAGAAATTCACAATATTGATCCATATTTTTTTAATATAATCTAAGCTTTCAGCTTACTTAAGCCATTATCAAAGATGTAAATTACAAACATTTTAAACAATATACGGACACGACAGTGATGATAGTCTGTCATTGTTTACATAGATAATCTCTAAGCAACGATAAACACGCATATAAGACGCTAGAAGTTTAAAATCGCACCGCATCTCATGACGTCACACATGACCACACGAGAGTGAATTGGAGAATGAAGTATGGAAACCTGTTGGTATAAACCAATTATAGACATTTAAGAATATTTGTAGAGATGCCATAATTGATTTTGTTTAGGTTGGGTTTTAACTGTTTGATGTATAATGCTTCAAGGATTTTTAGTTTTTGTCTATTGTTTTCATGTCGAAGTATAATTGTGTTTTTGACAAGTATTTTACAGAATTGTGTGTGCGGGCAGGCATGTTGTTTTAAATGCCTAAAAATGTTAAAAATTTATAAACTATGATTAATTTAATTTTTTTGCTAGGATCTGTAGTTGATATATTAGAATTTACTAATTAAATTAATCATATACTACACTAAATCTAGTATATCCAGCTTAATTCTTCGCAATGGTTCTTCTCCCCCAGTTAGCGATTTGCAAAAAACCAACATAGTTTATAAATTCAAGTGCCCTTTGGGAGAGTGTATCTCCAACGAATTAAATAATATTTATGTTGGTCACACCACAAACTCGCTTTCACGATGCTTGACACTACATTTTAATGAAAACTCTAACATTTTTATTTGTTCATAGTAATGTAGAACCAGTTACATTTTTTGATAGAATAGGTAACAGAAATGGTGTGCATTGTGCCATGAAATCTTTGAAATATTTCTCAGGTTTTACTATCTGGAGTAACATCAATTCCTAAGGACAGTATGAAAAACATCATTTGAATTCAAACTTTTAGATTGGCTACCACCCAAGGCAAGCAGGTTCTGCTCTTTAATACAAAGGAAGATGAATTCATATCTTTAGAAGAAAGTGAATAAAAGAGAATCTTAGAATGCCAATTCTTGCTGTGTTCCACCTCCACACACACTGATATGTGTTTTACTTTTGAATTTTGTGTCATAAGCAAATAAAAAAGGTGAAAAATTTTTTAATTGCTAAATATTCATTCTTTCTTCTTTCTTTTTTTGTATACAAAATTCTTAACTGAAAAAAAAACTTAGATTAATTAAATTATAGTACGTCTGGCAAGTATCAAGAATGTCTTCAAAAATTTTCTTTAGTTTTTAATTTTCTTACTTAATTTGTAGTTTTCATCCAAATTAGGTGATGTTCTCTTTTCTCAAATTTAGAATCTAAACAAGTCACTTCAGGGTCCAAATGATCTAGACAATTTCTTTTTTTCTAAGAAAAAAAACAAAAAAACTTTAGAATCATCAAAAATATAACTTAAAAATTTCAAAGGCAACAAATATAGACTGAAAAGTTTCATTTTGAATAATAAACTAATTTTTTTGATTAGATGCAGTCTGTGTTCAATTTACAAACAAAAAATTAATAAAAATAAAAAAGACAAATAAAATACTACAAAAAATTTAAACTTTATGACCAGATATTTCACATATTTTTTCAGTTTAACTTAAAAATAAAATATTGTTTCTGTCTAAAAGAAACTTTGATGTTCATCTTTAACAATAATTTACATTAAAAAACAGGTAAGAATTTGAGTTCAGGTAACTAAAAATATTATTAAATGTGTGAGTTACATATTTTTTAATTAAAAGAAGAATTGGTGTTTTTTATCTCGTAATTTTCACCCAATACAAGGCCCAAGAGCCATTCAAGGTAGAGTACTAGATATGTAGTGTTGTATGAGCATAAGAAAGGACAAGAAGTGTGGTTCATGGGACTATGCTGGAAGGATAATTCATTAAACCTAGACAAGATCAAGATTGTATTGATTGGGAAAACATCCTGCTGGAAGTTCATAAAACAGCAGTTCTTGGGAAGAACCTGTCCAAATGGATTTTGCTTTTTACTATGGGAATCTGAAGGTAATAGGGATGAACAGCAAACAAATTCTATAGTAAAAACAAAATTATAAGTTCTTTCTCTATTTTTTGGTAATTGATTCATTTCTTTTTTTTTATGGTTTATCAACCTTTTACAGCTTTTTTTAAAGCCAGAGTAGATTTGTAGATTGTAAGAATTTTTTAGAGATAATAATGATTTATTGTTACAAATCCTAGTAATTAACCCATAGCTGGTGGATTCATACCTTCCCTCGGGGTATTTGCAAATATAACAAACCCAACTATAATTGGAACTTGGCTCTTTGATTTCAAATTCCAAGTCATTATTCATGACACCACCCAGAAATCCAAGCTTACAGCACCTGTTATTCCCAAGCAGTCACTCATCTAGGTACTAACCAGGCTCAAAATTGCTTAACTTTGGTTATCATACGAGAACTGGTGTTTCACTGTGATAGGCCTGTAAACCTTTTGTGGTACAAAAAAGATAACTTAGCAGAACAGGCTTGAAGTATCTTTGTCTGAAAGGTGCTATCCAAAAGTTGGGCAGGGGATTTGATTATGAAAAACTTAAAATCAATAAATATTATCAAAGCATAATTTCATTTTCCCAGTGACCCCTTGAATAATAAATCTAGATGTGTGTTTGAATATAGTCTTCTTGAAATATGTGTCTGTTGACTGTATCATAGCAATGAATAAAAACGTTCTTTTGTATTTTGTTCAAGTTTCATATAAAGCAGCAGTTAGTGACAGAATTGTTCATACGAGAAGTTTGTACAGTAAGGGAAATTTAAAGACATATTAAAAAATTAAGACCTTGCAATAACTTAAATTATGCATCTGCAGAATGATGCTTGAGGGTGATCTTTTCGTTTAACAACTTGACAATGTAAGGTTGCACTGCAGTCAATAAATATTGAGGGACTTTTGATTGTTCTTAACATTCAAAGAAGCATTGAAAAGTTAATCTTTCTCATTTCATGCTGAAGTTGTACATGTGAGCTTGTTGAAAAATAAATCTATAATTTTAAAGTGGAATAAACTTTGATAACTGAATAATTATTTTGTCTGTTCTAAAACTTGTTTTATACCATTGGAGACCAGATTTAGTGAACTAACCCTCAATAATTTTGAAAATAAATAAATTTTATTTCATTTTGATACAAGTTAACTTACTACTATGATATATCACTATTACTATCACAAATGTTCCAACAAATTAAAATTCTTCTTAGTATGAAGAACTCAGACATTCATAGCTAGGACCCACCATGTGATATTTTTAGTGGAAAATCATCCCCATCTCTTTGTATTCTTTTGTTTAGGAGTAAGGTCCACAAAAAGAGTAATCTTAGGTATGAAAATAAATTACATCCAGCACCAAGGCCTCGTATTGGGACATTGGAGCTTTTCAGGAATGTGGCACCACCTCTTAATTGCTGTATTCTTAGGTTCACCTTAACCCATAATGGTAGCACATTAGGGTCTCAGCTATGGGCAAATAGGGAAACACCAAGCAAAACATTATGAATGTATATGAATACATTTTTATAGTAAAAATACCCGCAATACATTTTATATAGTAAAATTACAAATGGTACAATTTTAAAGCAAAATGTCCAGCAATAGATTTTATAGTACAATTATCAATAGTACATTTTATCTGTAGTTGAATGCATGCAATTATATTCAAAATATATTTAGTTGAAGCCTTAAAATTGTGTTTGAAATATTTAAATTTCAGCATTATAGAAGTTGATATACCGCTAAACAAAATCAACCAACCAGCCATGTAGAGAGCTTCTTGGCCAGAACTGTTACTTTGTAGAAGAGACTGCCAGGAAGATACTTCATTGACCATGACAACCATAACCTCTTCAAGTCTAGGGTCAATCTATATTTATCCTACATATCCTCATAATATACACTTACTCCTTTACAACAATCTCACTCAGTAACTTCCTATCTTGAGTGGCCCTTGGCCTTGTATTGGGTGAACAAAAGTAATAAAAAAAACATTCTGTCTGTTCTAAAGATTGTTTTATAAGATTGGAGACCTAACTTATCTCTCAGCTCTAATTATATTACTTGGAATAATATTAAAATTATTAAAATTGATCACCAATTTTTTAGACAAAGAGTGCTGCTACCATGTTTGCCATGGAGATCAGCATGAAATAACAAAGTCTGTCTTTAAAAATGGTTTCCCTCAAAAAAGGGATATGGGTTCAATTTCTGTCAGAGCAGTATTTTTTTTTTGTAGGAGTTCTCAATCTAGGTTTGTTGTTATTAATGTCACTGTTTAAAAAAGAATAAAAAAAACAGGGAAAAGTTCTGTCTACTAAAAAGTAACATTTATAGCAATAAGAAATATATATAGCATGAAGATTGTAGTCAAGCATGAAACAGACTGTCGCCACTCAGTATTGATCTCAGTGTCAACTTTGATATTTACATTTGCTCTATCCTTGATATTGAGCGCTTTTATCCATAAACTAGCTGAATTACCTGCACCTTGCCAAATGTTACAAAATTTTCTTTTGTAAGAAAATGATGACTGATTTTAAATTATTATTATAATTTGTGGAGAAAAATGATGCATTTCAATATTACTCAATAATCTTGCCGATGTGACCTCCATCTTCTGGCTTTCTCCTCCTATATGTTGGACAGGAGTCATTCCTATGTTCAAATTTAAATTATGTTTAAATCAAAGGGAAAAACATTTTCAGTGTGAGTTTTTGCCCCCTGGTAACCCCCTTTGATCAAAATGAAATATACTTATCCTAGTACCCTGGGTAATTTAGTTTCAGAATACATATGCTTATGGGGTCTCTCTCCAAAATCCTAGGAGGAATTCGATAACAAGCAGACAGAGGCTATAACATATATATATAGCATACCTTAGAATTATATCTTTATCATATATATATATATATATATATATATATAGACCAAAGGAAAACTTATTTTAGCTGACATGTTTAATCCTCTGAAGGACTTTATCAAGGCAAATGTGTCAGGCTAAAATAAGCTTTCCTTTTGTATTTATTCATATTGTCCTTTGACAGATATGCACTATCTGAAATATTTACACACACAAACTCACAATATATATATATATATATATATATATAATATAAAGGAGGGAGAGAGAGCAATACAAAAAACAGAAGAGAGCCAATGAAATAAAGATTCCTTGCTGGATATGAAGATAGAATGACCAAAAAAAAATGAGCAGCAGATGTTGATGAAAGACATGAAAACACCGATATACATACAAATATTTTTTAATGGGGATAGACCAGAAAATAGGTAAATCAGAGGTTGTCATTTAGAAAATATCTTAAAATTTCTTTTGCATATAAAACTAATTTATTTTAGCATACCATTCAGGTAAAAAAAAATATGGAAATGCAAAAGGAAGATTGGAAGTGTTTAGGATAGGAATGAGAGGATACAGATAAAGTGAGTGAAGATAGAAAATAAATGAAATAATGGCTAATGTCTGCTGGTCACAAATGGAGATCATCTTTATAATTGTTGTTTAATTATTCAATTATTAATTAGAAGTAATTCTAGTTTTCTCGTACCACAGAAACTGGAGTGTAATTATGTATAGAAAAAAAATGAAAACCCAAAAGGAATGAATTCACACATTTTTTTGTTTTTTACTCAGTCAAAGGTAAGAGGGTTACTGAATGTGGTTATTGCACAAATAAGACAAGGAGATAGGAAGTAAAGATTATGAAGAGATGGAGAAAAGATAACAGTTGACCTTAGACTTGAAGAAGCTTATGGCCATTTCACATTGAAATAGTTCCCATATGATCACAAAAGCATGGATGTGCAAGTAGTGTAATGGATAATGGCTTGAAATTGTTAATCTTAAGTACCAATTCCAGTTATGTTCATTGTATTCACTTATAATTCTATACCCTTGTGAAAAATATCAGTCCACATCTCCCCACCCCCATTAAATAGTATAACTTGACCAAAATACTGTCGACTGGTGTATTTCTGTAGAATAATGCTTTTAAAGCAAGCAGTCTTGGTAAAGTTCTCAGCACTAAATTTTTGAGTGATTGATTGTTTTTATCAACCTTTTCATAGATTTTTTTAAAGCTAAAATATGTTTTTGGATTGCAAGATCAATTTTTTTTCAAGTGAACATTGTATTAACAATTTTTTGCGATAATGATTTCTCAATACAAGTTCTACTATTTAACGGTGGTGGGAGTGTTGTTGTCAAAGTTTCACAGAAGTTTTCCCTATACCTTTCCCAAGAGTATTTTCACATAAGTGAATATAATGAACCCAACTGGAACTCATCTCTCTAAGTTTCCATTCTGAGCCATTATCCATTACACCACCCACACACCCAAGCTTACAGCACCTGGTATTCTCAAACAGTCACCCATTTTGGCATTGACCCGACTTGATGATATTTGAGCTCCTGATCAGATATGAACTGGTTTTTCAATGTAATATGGTTCTAAGCCTCAGTATTAAGAAAAAATACATTAATAGTAAACAAATAGAATAAAACTTTAAAAACTTACCTTCCAATCTAGAAGTTTCATAAATTTTATTCTCTCATGAGGTAGTAGTTGAATTGAATTTAATATCTTGTATTACTTATGATCTTCATCCTCTCCCCTTATTCCCTTTCTCCCCTCTAGCAGTAACAGGGATGGCTGTGAAAGCACAGACTTCTGAAGAGTCGTGTGCAGTAGTCACAGATGAGTGTGGGTGGTGGATGCAGCTGGGCAGGTCGGGCTCTCCTGACAGCATGTTGCAGATCCTCTTCACAGTTGAACTTGAAAGTCTTGGTTCTTTCTCATATGAGCCTATGCCAGGAAAGCTGATTTTTGGCAATGGTTTCCCAGGTCTCAGGGTCAATGCTGGCCTGTGTTAGGGATGTTTTCAACTGATACTTGATGTGTTACTTTGGGCCTCTTTCTGCTAACCACTTCTCCTTGCAGGCTGATACATGGGAGTCAAATGAGATGCATTCTGGACATGTGACCTGCCCAGCAGAGGTGATGTTGAAGGATGGTAGCCTTGATGATGGGGAGAGACGCCCAAGAGAGGACATCGTTGTTGCTGATGCTGTCCTCCAACCTGGAACCTTTCTAAACATTTGATGTCCCATCAATACTAAGTCCATGTCTTTTGATATATGATAACAGTATCTGGTATCTGTTAGATATATTTCAACATATGATAGCCATTAATAAATTCAGTTATACTATCTTTAACCCCCTGATGTGTGTATAACTTGGTCAAGAAGATAGGCTTTTGAACATTTTATTGTATTTAATATATTATTTCATATGAAGAATACATGTTTTTGGAAATCCATGTTACAAAAATAATGGTCTATTACAAAGTGAAGAAAAGATAAAAACAATAACTAATTGAAGGATTTAAAAGTTAACTAAATAAG